GGTCACAGATCAAAAAGTCATAGATTTCCAAATTAATTGGTCACAAATTTTTTCACATTCACAAATTATATAATTTTTAGGTCACAGATGACAAAATGATTGGTCACGAATTATATTTTGTCACAGATTACCAAATTTTAAGGTTACGGATTATATTTGTAGTCATAGAAAATCAAAATCACTAGATCTGCAAGATCCTCCACCTGCACCACCGTCGACTGTCACCACCATTGTCAACCCACTACACACCACATCTAGTCAAATACCACTGTACACCGACAGTGCCACCACAACTACGCCGCTACAAGTATCACATAGTATCACATCAACAGGATCCTTGTAACGGCGTTCGGAGGTGTCTCCGGCACCGCAACTTGTGATCACCCTCACCATGCCACCATAGTCAGCACCACCACCATCCACCAGCACTACCATCAACATATCCACCAACACAACCCCACAAAAATCACCGCCTACCAAACAATCCCCAAATCGCTACCGCTACCGCCATCACCACTTCGCGATACCACCACCTATATCAACGATTCACCACAACCTCCTCAAATCAGAAAGAGAAATAAAAAACCCCAAACCCCCTCCCCACGCCAGCACCAGTCGGTGCCGAAGGACTGCAGCATCGCGAACGAAGGCGATCGTCGCTGTGAACGAAGGCGGTCTTCGCGGTATCTGCACAATGGCTCTCGGAGGAAATCGTCGCTGTGATGCTGTGGTCTCCGACGACGGCGGCTATTCATGTGTGAGGGAGAGGATTGAGAGGCGTAAGGGATAAGGAGAGAAAGAATGGAGGGGAAAAGAGGGTAAAATAAATTAGGGAGAGCCAGTGAACGATCGTCGCTGTGAGTTCGGCGGTGGTCTCCGACAGCGCGCGACGGCGCCGCAAGTGTCAGTTAAGTGGAAAGAGTGAAGAGAGAATATGGAGTCAAATGAATTTGAATTTTAGGGTTTGAAATTGGATTGGGATGAGATGAGTTATATATTTTAATAGTTAAATCAATTTTTGCACCATGATCTTGAAAAGCCTGGAATTATGTAATTTTCTGTTTAATAAAACCTAAAAGCCCATCCCAATTAAACCAAACCCAATAGTCACAAAAATTGAGAATTTGAGACGAGATTTTTTTTTTTTTAGATCAAGATGTTGCACTTTTGAGCTTTTTCTTTTTAAGTAACAACAACTTGTCAACTAGATCAATTTATATAACCTCAATCATTGTCTTTCTATAGTAAGCATTTTGTCTTCATATATATTTTATTTTGTTATATTATGTTACTTTTGCCAAAAAGGTTGACATCAAACCCTTCTGCTCACGCATTCACTTACGAGAAAAAAAAAAAAAATAGGATGAGAGGTGCTTATACAATTCTTTGGATTAATCTTTTATTTCTTTTGTTAAATCGTGGTTTGATTGCAATTTGTTTCAACTAAAGCACGCTCGATATTGGGTTGTGTAGTGCTATTGTATGAGTGGTAGAATATGAAAGCCATATGGTGGGATCTCAACATCACGTGCTTTTCAATTGAGGGTGGTGAATCCGACTTACATTTTCTCTACATTTTTCCTTTTTCTCGAGCATATTTGGATATAATGGATAAAATTTTAATCTTCTTCTTAATACCATTATTATTGTAGAATTCATCAAATTAAGTTCATGCTCGACTCACATTTTTTAAAATTCATTTTCCATCGAATTCATTACCAACTATTTGTATACAAATTATAAACATGTTTTTCAAGAAAGGAGCTTGTCCAAAGGACTTTCCGTGGATTGGATTGGTAGGTTGATATTGAAGATTTAAAAACTGTAGGCGAATTTATAATCGAAGTGCTTCTCGAATGTTCAAGATCCTTGAATGTGTCAAATTGGAAATACTAATAAATATACGCACCAATGACTATTCCAAACACAATAATTGACGCGAGCACAAAATCATGTTGGAGCTTGTTTGAAATTTTATTTTATTTTTTATTTTTATTTTTGAGAATAGCTCTTGTGAAAAGTGATTTTTAAGATAATATTGTTTGAAAAAAATGTAAGAAAAAGTTCTGAGTTTACTTACAAAATTATTTTATTAAAAGACTAATAGTTAAAATGAGGTTAAGAAGAAATAAGTTTTAGAGAATCTCTTTCAAACAAGAACTTGATCGGCTCACATGAATAAAAATTAGACTTTTAATAGATTTTAATAAAATAGTTGAAATGTGTGGTTAAAAAAAATTATGGATCTATATAATACGTTATTAAAATTAATTAATTTATGAAAGGTAGTTGGTGGGAAAGTTGACTTTAGCCCTTGTTTGGTGGTTTTTCTTTTTCATTTTTTTTTTGAAAATATTGTTTTAAATAGTAAATTTTTAAAGAATGTGTAATTAAAATGTAGGAAAAAAATTTTAGATTTATGTATAAAATATTTTATTGTGTAATTAAAAATGAATATATGTATAAAAGAAGAAAATTGAAGGAATGGGAGATAAACAATGGCTAATCCACGTTAAAATTATAATTCAATTTTCTATCTCTTCTTATCAGTCACACATTCTCCAATAAAATAATATTACACGTAAATCAAAAAAAAAAAAATTTAAGTACACGTTCTTTAAAAAAATCCATATTTCAATGAAAATCATTTCTTCCTCCGTTCAAAACTGCAAAAATGGCAAAATCCAGTGAAGATAAAAGAGCAATTTACTTGTATAGTCATTTTTTTTTTTTTTGCAATAAATAGCCTGCATCACGAAAGATACGATCGGAAAAATTCCATTTTCCTTTCTTTCTGTTGGTATTTTATGGGCCACTTCTCCCATCGTGGTGTAAATTAATAAAATTCTGATTTAGATCTCCAAAGTGACCAAAACACCTCTCCAATGAAGAGATAACAAAGGAAATGCAAATTGCATGAAAATGAAAAATTCACCAGAAGCAAAAAGTTGATTTAGATCTTCCCATTGGAGCAAAATTTGAATTTAGATCCACTGAAATATAAATCAGGATGCAAAAGTAGTTTTCGAGATACCAATTTTACACCATCATTGAAGATGTGCTTACATTATATTTAATGGATCTCTAGTGATTTTATATTTGACATCTTATCAACACGATAATAGTCCTAAACAGTGACGTCTTCTCCATATATTTATATGTGTCCTTAATTGGATTTTGATTTGAGATACCAGTTTCATACAAATCTTGTCGCTGCAGATGTCTCATTTGATCACATTTTTTACTTCTCAAATATATCAGATACAAGCTTTTTGTTGCTGCACCAGAACCAAAGAAAGTTGGTTTTCCAATGTTCAGATTCTACACTTTGATTTTGCTACTGGGAGTTATTTCCATCATCATAGAGCTTTTTCAGACATTTCTATGCATAGGGTTCAAATTTCAATGTCAAAGATTGCAGCCAATTTTCTTTGGTGGACTTTAACAACATTAAGCTCCAATTTGGTTTGACTAAAAAAGTTGATAAAAATCAAAATCAAAGTCAACAATTAACTTTAATCATACATTTCATATTACTTGTCTACGTTATTGGTTAGATCTTTTGTTTTGTCTAGTCACATGTATCTCTTTCTTAGTTTTGTCAAATCTTACAAACACGCATCAACATTTCTCGAATGTTCAACATCCTTGAATGTGTCAAATTAGAAATACTAATAAATATAATTGACGCGAGCACAAAATCATGTTGGAGCTTGTTTGAAATAATTTATTGAGGATAACATTTGTGAAAAGTGATTTTTAAGAGAATACTGTATGGTTTAAATGTAAGAAAAGGCTCTGAGTCTACTTATAAACTTATTTTATTAAGCTCATGTTTGGTCAACATTATTTTTTTCATTCTAATTCTTCTACTGATTTTTAACCATACATTCTTCAATAAAATAATATTTTTATCACGTCAATAATTTTTCCTTCTTTTTCAATCACATATTCCCCATCACATCATAAAAAAAAATGCATTCTTGATTTCATAATGTGCACCAAACAAGTCCTAAAAGACTCGCTATTAAAATGAGGTTAATAAGAAATAAGTTTTAGAGAATCTCTTTCAAACAAGAACTTGATCGGCTCACATGAATAAAAATTAGACTTTTAATAGATTTTAATAAAATAGTTGAAATGTGTGATTTAAAAAATTATGGATCTATATAATACGTTATTAAAATTAATTAATTTATGAAAGGTAGTTGGTGGAAAAGTTGACTTTAGCCCTTGGTGGTTTTTCTTTTTCTTGTTTTGAAAATAGTAAATTTTTGAAGAATGTGTAATTAAAATGTAAGAAAAAAATTTAGATTTACGTATAAAATATTTTATTGTGTAATTAAAAATGAATATATATAAAAGAAGAAAATTGAAGGAATGGGAGACAAACAAGGGCTAATCCACATTAAAATTATAATTCATTTTTCTATCTCTTCTTATCAATCACACATTCTCCAATAAAATAATATTACATGTAAATTCAAAAAAAAAAAAAATATTTTTTTTAACCATACGTTCTTTAAAAAAATTCATATTTCAAAATACATTATCTCAAAAACTCACTATAACGTGGCCAAACAAGCGCTTATCATTATTCTTTGGAAAAATTGGAAGGAAAGGAAAAGTGGCTCAAAGGCATTTAGGTGGGGGTCGCACAGATGTACTTATCATCATCCTCTATAGTCCAATCCACCCAATTTCTAATTATTCCTATTTTGACCATTTAAATATATTTTCTCTATTATAAAAATCTAGAGGATTAAAATGACACGTGTCTCCTCCTCCTCCACCACATATTTTATTTTCCATTATTAAATATTAGAAAATTATTATATTTTTGTACGAGGCATTGCAGCTCTTGGTTTAGCTTGACGGTAATAAAATATAATTATTTTTAAATCTTTATACATTCTTTCCAAATCGAGGCTATATATTTAAGCTGGGTTGGGACCAATCAGTACATACTTGGCAAAGGCAAAACAATCGGAACTCTCTCAATGACAAAAGTACACCCAAACAGTACCAGTAGCGACACCTTATCGTCGCCGCCAAAAGCTATTAATAGCAGCAACGGCGATGCCAAATCGGTGGTGCTCACCGTCTGGAAGAAATCGCTGCTCTTTAACTGCGACGGTTTCACGGTGTTCGACTCTAATGGAAACCTCGTCTTTCGCGTCGACAATTACATCGCCGGCAACAAAGGAGAGATTGTTCTCATGGACGCATCCGGCAATTCTCTTTTCACCATCCGCCGCAAGGTATACCTATACACAAACATACACACACTTCGGCGACTCGTTTTCATTTCGCTCCGACTTATTTCTGATGAATTTTTATTGCAAAATGATAGAGATTGAGCTTGGGAGACAGCTGGTTCGTGTTCGAAGGAGAGAAGGAGATAAACCCTAGGTATACGGTGAGGAAACAGGTGAATTTGCTTCCTAGCAAATCCCTAGCCGTCGTGACTTCAGGAATCTGCCGGGAAACAATCTCATCGGAAAAGAGAAACAAAGTACTTTACGAGATCGAAGGATCGTACGCGCAACGGTGCTGTGCGGTGTACGACGATAAGCGGCGGCTAATGGCTGAGATAAAACGGAAGGAGGCCTCCGTGAGAGGCGTTGCTTTCGGAACGGACGTTTTTCGTCTCATTGTACATTCTGAATTTGATTTAGCACTTGCCATGGCTTTAGTCATCCTCCTTGACCAGATGTTTGGATCCTCCACCTCGCCAAGTCGTTAATTAACTCGAGTTAACTATACGACTATTACACAAGAAAAAAGCCTTACAGCTCGATCAGCTTTTCTGATTTCATGCTGAAGAAGTGAAATTGCGGATGATGGAGAGAAGAGACTATGATTCGTAATTACAAAGGAAGTGATTTTAGCAGAGTTTTGACTCGTGCGTCAATAGATTGCTTACCAAATGTCTCGAGTTACTTCTGTATGTATGAGTTCTTTATCGATGCATATACACAGGAATTCGGCTATTCTTCTTCTTCTTCTTCTTCTTCTTCTTCTTCTTTTCACTTTCCAATTTAAAACTCGTCAATCTTATTTGATACTACATACTAAACAAACAATTACACAAGAAGTTCCTTCGCTTATCATAGGTATCGCAAGATATTTGAATAGGGACCATTTTTGATGAATTGTTGAGTAAATAATGTGTAAAAACATCGTAGAATAATTAGCCAATGGTTAAAAAAAAATTTTCTCAAATTCATTTTCAGATAAACTTATCTAATAATTTTGAACGGAAACTTGTAACTTTTCTTACTTTTTAATCACACGTTCTCCAAAAAATTATTTACAAAATTTCTTGCTCAGGAAGTTTTGTTTAAAAGTAAATCGAATGTTCAAGCAGATGGTGGGTCTACATGCCACTTAGCAAGATTCTAAAAAAAAAAAAAATTCTACATCAAACAAGATCTTAAACTCATACAAAGAACCCCCGAGTCAAAAAAAAAAAAAATCGGTGAGTACTCATCTTTGCTGAAAAGTGAATGGAAGAAGTGAAAATATTTTGCTCATACAAGTCTCAAATGCTACAGAACAATACCACAAAAAGAAAAAGAAAAAATGCTCTGTGGGAACTGAACAATTAAATTTTCTCCTCAAGTTCCTTGTTTCACAAATGACAACTAATCCTTCAAGTACACATGAAAAAAATTGTTTACAAAATCTACTGTCATTACTTCTCTACATTTAGTATAAGTAACTCTACCCTTACTCGATGTGTTTTCCAAATGCATCAGAAAGACATGTCTAACTTCATAAAACCTTTTCCAATCCTAGCAAATTTGACTACAGCAAGAATTCTCCTACGCTCTGGCCTGCCGAAATTAAGAATAGTTTTTCTTCTTTTATCACCCACAAATTCGAAAAATGTCAAATTCATTGTGGCTAGTACTTGCCATGATTACCTCAGCTCGAATAAAGAATCTTTTGAGGAGCACATACAAGGGAACGACATCTTCCTGCTTTGTATATCCCATATGCTGCAACTTAGACACATGGTGATTTGACATCTAAGGATTGACATTGCAATCACTCAAGAACTGATTTTGTAGGTTCAGAAACTTCCTCCAAGAACTTTTGTATCTAGGAATGCCAAGCTCGAGCCATGGTTTCATGTTTCCATTGAAATGCAATACCGCTGCTGTCCTCAGGGCATCGTCTTCATGACCATAATTAAGCCCCAGGCCCGATAACATCCAACTGTCATCAAGAGCATAAACTAGACCTTGAAAGGTGAGCATACTTGCACTTAGTACAGTAGTTTCAGATAATCCTCCTGTGCTCATCTGTTCTTCACGTTGTAAAAGAAAGTAATGGTCAGAAAATGAGTAGGCAGACAACAGCAGGAACCATCTATAATATCAAATAAAAGATAAATCAACCAAAATATGTACACATGCAGGGACCATTCAACTGAGACATCAAAAAAAAATTCGACTAGTGATAGCAGAACAAGTTAATGAATTTTTTTTTAAATTTTCAATTCAATTCTTGACAAGTTATATACCATTCAGAAAAATATACAGGTTTGTTAATAACCAAACAGGATTGTAGGCAGGTTTACAAGAATAAAAATTTAGAGGTCATTGGATTCGGCTCGAGGAGTTGATTTGGGTCCCCACCCATGTTGGGGTGTGTGTGTGTGTGTTTATTTAAGTAGATAATATACAACAGGGAGAACTCAGAAATGAGGGCAAAGAGCAAGCTGGATGTGCTACGTTGAGACAAAACAGGACCTCCCACTGTTTCCATTACTGTTTCTAACATTCAAGCTCAACTATATTAGAGCCTTACTCATTTATTAATGAGCTCAGTCTGAGTTTAGGCTCAAGCTTAAACATTTATTCCAACATCAAGCATCAGATTTTGAAAACTTAATTCTGCCAATACAAAGAATCATCAACACAAATCAACCAACTTGAAGACGAATTCAAAAGAATAATGAAAAAGCTGTCACAAACGTGCCAAATAGTGAATATCAAAAAGCAAAAACAGCAGCAAAAAAATGTGTAATAAGACGAAGAGTTTATAAGCTTCATATCAATTAAAGATGATGCAAGGTGCCTATGATTAAAGCAATCTTGCTCCACAACTGTTACAAAACCTTTGTTAGATGTATTAAATAACGCATCAAAAACAATAGAAAGATTCCCAAGTAAGCTTGCAGCTTTGAGTGTAGTACAATTAGGGCTCAATGTTGGCCAATTGAACATTCAAGAAGGGCAATTTCTAAATAAGTCGAGCTTGAACAGCTGGCAAGCTGGCTTGGTTCACTTGCTCCCCTATATGTATTGTAAATCCTATATAGATGACAGATTGAGGTTTAAATTGAATGTAACTTAGAGGGCTACACGTTTCACAATTTTATGGCTTCTAGCAGGGTCAGATGTAGTTTGCAATTAGTAAATTAATAAACCTACAGATCTAGAAGTCTAGCTAGATATCTGGAGACTGGAACCAGAGCAACTATAAAGAGGCCAAGTCTCACAATGATTACCATCTCCATTAGCTGTTACTATTTGATGTGAGGCATTCTGTTGATTAGAATACCACAAAGCAGGCTGCTTGCTTTGCTGAAATGATATAATTTATTCAGATAAAGTGAATTAGAAAGTTTACAGGAAGTAAGAATGTTCAGAGTCAAAGATCTATCATCATTTAGGATGAGATAATTCCACCTATTGTGAAACAATAAAGCTAGATGTACATCTTGCCTTAACACATGGTTGACATCCCCCCCCACCCACCCACCCACCCACCACATGTGGCACAATCTAGGCAGTGATGTGAAAAATTGTTGGAGGAATCAAAGAATAAGATGGTGCCATATGGAAGAATGTAAAGGGAAATGTCAACCATAATGTACATGTAGCATGATTGATTGTGAAAAGTGACTCCCATCTACGAAGCTGAATTCTCTAGAGGTATACGTAGTATTTGATTCAAGAGCCACAGAGTACAATTTCTTGTCATTTTATGGGCTACTGCTAACTTACCCGAGTCATGGGTAAGATGACAAAGCAACCCCCTTTTTATAAGAAAGTTTTTAGGAATTACAAACTTAAAAGTTGAAGAGTAGACCATTCTACTGTTGAAACAAAGTAGAAATATCCAATCTCTTCTTGTTTGCATATATCCGACACTAGCTAGTGCATACCCATTAAAACCTTTGTCTACAAGCACCATGACAACCAACACCAACTCAATATCTTCCTTCCCACAAACTGCCATCCTTATATGACGTTTTCAGCTCTGCCAAGTCACCTGCCATGATGATTGATTTTGAACTTTTTCTTTTTTTTCTTCTTTGTTCTCCCTCCTCCCCATTTCCTATCCGTCTCTATTTATCTCAAGTTGAATTTTTTATTTTCCTTCGAAAGCTATCAGTTTGTGTCTTTGTGAAATCTTGCAACATATTAAATAGGAATAAGAGAGTTATGCAGCTATATGCTGTTAGGATTCAAGCCATGAAATTTTTAATGGGACAATGAGAAACTTATGATTGGATAGTCCCTTGACTACTTGAGCACCTAACGGTCTTTGTACAGCTGAGAGCAACTATCATATCATTTTTCTTTTCCTTTTATAACCCAAACGTCAAAAACTGAGAAGGCATAAAGAATAACCTGAAGACGGGGTTTTTGTGTTACCGAGTGGTGTTATATGTGTAAGAAGGATGGGGAGACGATTGATCACCTGTTCATTCATTGTGAGGGTGTTCGGTGGCTTTGGAATAGCATTCTTGTTTCCCAACATTTGGATTGGGTGATGTTTAGGCGAATTGAGGATGTGGTACGGGCATGGAGGAGGAAATTTCTTGATAAGGATAGTAGGATTGTATGGGATCTTATTCGGGGATGCATAGTATGGTGTGTATGGAGAGAAAGGAACAGCCGCTGTTTTGAAGACCAAGCAAGAACTACAGAGCAGTTCAGAGAATTGTTCTATCTAACTTTGTATAGTTGGTTTAGTACTGTGGCTAATAACCATATTGAAGGGTTGCCTAATTTCATGTCGTTTCTGCACTGTTTAAACTAATAATACATTTCCCGTGTATTATCTATTGTTTTTTAATATATTCTTCGATTACTTATCAAAGAAAAAGAAACGTGTTAACTAAAACAGACATCACTCACCTCTTGCACCAACCTCAGGAATGTTTCCGTGATATTATGTTCCCTCCATCTGGATAAATCAATAATGTTTACTCCAGACATCCAAGCACAAGAATTTTCAGAGAAACTGTTCCTAGGCAAATAAGTTTTCAGCTGCCCTAACTTCACTGCGCAGAACAGCACAGCACCATTCACTTTTCCACCCATGTCAAGGCTCCAAAGGTCTGATAAGTCCCTTTGAGTGAGGATGTCATCGTCCAAAACCACGACTTTCTTCAAAGTTGGAAATATCTCAGGAAGGAGATAATGGGAATGTGAAAATATTGATAGGTACTCCGTTCTAATCTGATAACTAGAGAGTTTGTCAACTCTAAGAAAAGAAACACGAAATTCTTCAGGCAACGATAGATGCAGTGGAGCCAACTTATAGTGATTGTTCAACTTATGATCTTCAATATTCAAAACCTGAACTGTGGCTTCCCGATACTTGTTTATGAAAAACCATAATTTCATAGCAAAGTAATTTTCCCTGTCTGTCAGGACATGAAAAACCTGTTTCTCACTTTCCTGAAAAATGAAAGAAATCTCATCAATGCATTTGACATTAATTCCAGTACTGCCAAAAGATTTTTCTTTCAAGAAGAAATTAGGAGAAGTAAGATATACAATCCATACTTCTGTATTCTGTACAGTCGAGTTGATTGCAACAGATGAAGCAAGTAGATTCCTGGAGAATATAACATAGTGGTGCAAGTCTGGGTTTAAAATTTTCTCAGACAATGACTGCTCCAAATCAAGTGAAGTTCTAAAATACTCCACGGTTAACCGCATGGAAAGACAATGGAGACTCTTTGGCATGGTTTGAACTGCAAGTTGGTGGAGGAAGGCACTTTGCTTCCTGTGGAAATTAGCTTCATCCTCCGTCAGATCGACTAGTTGTCTTAATTTCTTATCAACATTATTACAGTCCACAGAGCATGACTTTGCTCTGGCTATTGCTGCCTCCATCTTAGTTAGCTTCTCCTCGATCCTGATAGCATAGGCAATAAATAGATGCTTAGTCTCCCAGGTATTTTAGTATAATTTGAACAAATTTCATTGATTTCAGAGACAAATTTAATTCGAGAGCTATGATTTGAAATAAAGGAAGAAACCAGGATTTCTTGAGTGGGAAGTGAAAAGACACGCACACAGAAGAGAATCCCAAAGAGTTCTCTAAATCCTTCAATAATCTTGGCTAAGAGAAATATCCAGATTGGAGGAGCAAATGACAAGAGTCACTGTCAAAACACTGCACAAAAATGTGTGGTTTTTTAAGTTATGAACTATGGGGACATGCAAGGGTTCGTTCTCAAGGGATGCAATTAGATGTTGGAGATTATCAACCTATCGGTATTCTTAAGAGAGCACAGACTGAACAATTGCATATTATACCAAAATCATTTTAGATAATCCAGAAACAAGTACTCAATTTCATATACTAGCCTGCTCCACCAGCCATAACCTTCGACTGATTCAAAAACTCATTCAAATTTCATATATTAGAACTGACCCACTCAATTTGAACCTTTGATGTGTCTAAGTTCTAATAGAGCAAAGTGGGAACATTTAATCCTGTAAATGACCCAACAACATGGCAAAGACTCACTGAGCTGAGTCAAATCCAATTGAAATGCAATAAGTAGCAATGAACCACCCAATACGCAATAGCGTCTTGATTGGCAATCTCATAGCCAAATCAATCAACAGTTCACAAACAGCAGAAACCAAAATTTATTGTACATACAAAGTTATTAAAAGAAAGAATGCAAGGCAATAAAAAGCAAGAAAAATGGACTCAGTAGTAGTAGAACTTGATTGGTCAATTCTTCAAATAACTTAGAGAGTGAACTTGTGGCATCTTTACTTGTTATTTGACTAAATAATAGAGAAACGAAACATATATATATGTTACAATTAAAGGCATAAATTTGAACGTACTGAAGAGGAAGATCTTTATCCATCATAGCTTCACTAAAAACACGTTCAAAATCCTGAATATTTTGCTTCATTTCATGTGACAACTTGTTAAATGCTGGAAGTTTTGCAATGCTTGGATAATAAGCACGAGCGACATAAAGTAAGTCCTTCATCTTCTTCACTACAGCGTCTTTCATTTTTTCCCTATGTTCTCGATGCCATAAACAGTAACTCCCATATTTCAATTCACACAGCATTTCACTTTCATCAGCTCCTCTAAAATTCTTAACTGCATCATCTGTAACAGCAAGTCCAGTATTCTGTGGCATAATTTATAGTTAATCATGCTTGTCAATCCAATGGCAACAATTTGGACAGTTTAGACAGTGTAGGGTCTAAATTTGAGCAAAACTTTGACAAATACATACATTTTTCTGCCGTAGTTTTGGCGAATCAGCAGGAATAGGGAGGCCTGTTAACATTTTAAAGAAAAGAAATTTGATGAAAGAAACCATACAAGTCCTACACTTTCTAGAGAGAACTATAACACAAAGCTGTGTGTGCGTTTGAGAGAGAATTTTTTCAGTTAATTGAGCATGGGTACCCCACCATAAGTTTCATTCTCAGCTTCCGTGACAGGATTCTCCCCCACAGTCTGCCAAAATATAAACAAACATTATATGAGATTGCAGGTAATTTTATAATCAAACAATGCCAAACCCCATGCTTATAAGATTATCCATGTGCTAAAAGTAGTACTTAGCCAACCCAATTAAGTAGAAAAAGAGAAGATGAGTACAACGCTAGGTCAAAGCACTTAAAGCCTCCAAAATAAGGCATACAATTTATTTTCACCTTTTCCTATTAACAAGTATTTTTAAGATGCTGAAAGGGCACAATCCATATTCGCGTGGATATATAGAACAAGTGCTTCACACCACCAAAAATTGAAACAAATTAAAGACAAAGGGAAAAATTTCCTAACAATTTCGTACAAACACCCAAGCCACACAGGAAAAAGAATTTATTATTGAAGGAAACAAATGGGCTACAATGTATAGATAGATTTTAACGAAGCTCATCTGTCCATATTCACCGATAATAGGCTACAACTATGGGGCACAGTTTATACTCTCTATTATAGTATCACTATCACCATTTGAACTAATGGCTTTAGCAGTCAAATTGTCCTTAGACAAATAGTCAAAGTAACACTAAATACAACAACCATAACGAGGTATGCGTTAAGGAAGAGGAGGGGTTCCACTTGATTCCGCACCTTTTTGAAAATTCTACGTCTGACTACTATTGTCTTGATATCTAGCACTAAATTTACGGATGACCTTCAGGAAGAGAGAAAAATATACATCGCTACATTTGCAACTCCAAAACCGCTGCCTGTCATCTCCTTAACAAAAACCAGATAACCCCAAATGAGAGAATAAAGAAGCCGCAGAGAATTCCAGCCAACCTCATAATCAACAGGATCACTCCAGAAAGATAAAATGTCAGTAAGCAAAGGAGGGAATGGGTGATCCCAGATATTGTAGTGAGATTGGAGCTAAAAGGAAGATATGGTGTTTGAGGTGATGGCATCATAGATTTGAAACGTTGATTGGTGATTGTTGGTGTCTGAGGTATTTATGGCAGCATTAGATATTTTTTTCCTCTTATCAATTGAAATTCTTCTTTTCTTTTTTGGCTTCACCTTGGGATCCCCTGTGATCATTTGGAGTGATGGTGGTAGCTTAACCATTAGACTGGATTTGGTAGAAGATACAGACAGAAATTAAAATCTTAGTTATGCATCATGTGACTCCTCTTACCTACACCTAAATAAATATGCTTAGTCAAACCTATACATTCATTTTGAAACAAAAGGAATACGTAGTTTGGGAAGTAAGGTTAATAAGGCCTCTCCTGATGGTTACTTACCCTCGGGAGTAAAAAGGAGGAAAACAGATGGTTGCCTCATAAAGAGCATTGCAGAGACTTGATTAAAGACTCTTCTATCGGGAATTCTAGTTACACTATAGTTGTTAGGGTTTAATAAATTCAACAGTCTTATACTTCCATCATAATGATTGCAGAGGACTTTCACATCAACTGCTTTTCCAGAATCTCTAGGACTAGATTAGATTGTCCTAACTATATTAGAAAACAAATTGTGATGGTGAGGTGTTCTTATTTCAAGCCTTTCACGAGGCAAGTTAAAAGGCTTGAGCATGTTTGTTTTCATGCACTATTTTTTAATGCTCAAAGTAGTGAATGCTTAGAAAATATAAAATGAATCAAAAAGCTTAGCACGTATGAAATCACAAATACAATTATTTGCCAACCAAAAATAAGTAAGAAATAATCCAGAGTGAGTGTACAATAGCCCAAGTTGTCAGCTAAGCATGTATATGATAATTCTAAAGAAGTTACAATTTCCAAATTTGAGGGAAACGGTCTAGAAAACAATTGAAGTGTATTCTATCAGCAAGAACAAGGTCATCTCTAATCTTCTGTTGTACAACCTTTTCTCAGTACTTTAATTCCCTTTCTTCAGCCGATATTGTGATACAAACGCCTCAACAATGGAGCATTAAAACGCATTTAAGTTGAACCTCAATACATAATCGTCCAAGGCCTGCCTTAAAGAGAAAAATCTTGCCACATTACCATTTTCCTTGCTTTGAGGCAGAACTTAGGGTAGCCTCTTCGTCCCATTAGCCTGACTCAATCTATCCATTTTCCATCCTTAGTTTATATATATAAGTCAACTCTACGTTAGCTTGGCAAAAGAATTTCTTTAAAATGCACCAAAAGGGTGCGCTTGTACGTACAAATTCAGCTTAATGTCATTAGTCTATTATGAACAGTACACCCATAAAATGAAAATAGCAGAAATATGGATGTTAAAATGTATCCGCAGCTATACAGTAATAATTGGTAAGATAAAAAATGAGAATATAAATTAAGGAGAAGAGGTAGCAGATGATGAATTATGGAAGAATGACTTGTATGGTCGGGAACATCTTGTATCTACCTAGGGAAGCTCTAATTCATAAGAAAAGGGGCAGTCCCAGTGAAATGGGAAAAAAGAGCGAGAGATTAACATGGCTTGAAGTAACTGATTAAATGTAAGGATGGGTCGAAGGAAATGGCAAAAAGGATTTGTGTGGCTCACCCCAAATTCGTCGAGAATAAGGCTTAGTTTATTGCGGTCATTACAACATTATGTTACTCGTGGATACAGATGCCGTATCTTTTAACATTTTCAAGTTAGCTTTCCTTTTCCATTATATTTCCATTTGTTTTTCCTTTTTTCTTTAATAACAAAGTTCTAACCTCAACATATATAGCCTTTTGCATCATACAGAAATGAGTGGTTTGATTCAGCTCTACAAGGATATTCTCTCTCCATTTGTGTTATAGATACAGTGGCAGTTGGTGACAATGGTGCTTCCATTAGAGACAACTATCAGTGAGACATTGACTAGTAACTACTCCAAAAATACTCTTAATTCAACAAAAAAAGGACTCATAATGCAAAAACGTCGAGTATTAACGCTCAAAGCATATGCAATGAACCTTCGGACGAGTTGGAACCAATCTTCTTATAAGGTCATCCACGTGTGTTGACTGGTTTCTCTGCAAACAAAGACCAAAAAGAAAAAGAAAGAATAAGATGTATTTAGAAAGTAATCTAGCTTGTCACAAAGCAAATATGAATGAAGTATCAGATCCTGTCACACTCTATATGCATGCTTGTGGATATAATGCAGGTGTATCTGAATGTATGCATCCTTTGCCACTCCGAATTCGAATGATTGCCAAAAGATATAAATTCTTCAGTTCACAAAATCCTAGTTCACACACCTTTGATTGGTTTCTGGTGTCAGCACTGCTGTGTTGATCATAGACTCTTAAATGTTTCTGACTCCAGCAAGAAGCATCCGAATAGAAAGAAAAAAAATCAATATGCAAATAACATAACTAAAAGAACCCTCTCTTAAATCATTTAGTTAAATGCTGCAAATCCTTACTGTGGCTGAATTAGGTTGCTCAGTAGCATATCCTGAAAAAAATTGAGACAAAAAGTCATTACATATGTTAATCCCTGTTGAAATGATGAAGTGGAAAACACAGGCAAATGCACCATAGTTGTTTACACGCACTCACACAATCAGATGGGCAATGGTTCTTTAGGGGCATGGGAACATATTGTAAATCCGCTCTATGTCTAATATTCATCTTGTGAAAATCAAATACAACATAATAACTTCGAAGATCTGGATTTCACAAAAGAAATTGCAAGTAAAATGGCATCAAAATACTTCATTATAGATTCAACATTAGCCTCAACATCGATCTGGCATGTGACGAGAATAAGCAAATCGAATTGGGCAAAACGAAGGGTCCTTGCCCAATTGTGAACTATTATAGTAGAGCAATGAAATGCAGACAAGTAGATTCGCAGTTTCGATAAGAGATCTCGTCTTAAACAAGCACAAGGCAGTTATCAAAATCGAAAAAACGAACTAAGCAATTAATCGGAAAATGCATTACCAGCCGATGAGAGAAAACCATTATGGAGTCCGAGCAAGAAAATTAGCGAAACCAGCATGGAAAGAAACACGAGACCAAGAACAGCCATAACCAGACCTTTCCATCGTCTCTTTGTTGCGAAGGAGTACGATGAACCACCGTACCCGCCCTTCATTTTCCAAATTTTCTTCTTCTACTAACAGGTCCTTCTCCAATTCCGATTTTCCCCTTTTTCCACAACAATCTTAATCAATTATCAACAATTTCCATTTTCAGAAAACAATCTATTTGTTATTCCAATCGCATTGTAATTTGTGATATATAGTACTCGGATTCTCTATTTTCTTCAGATTCGTAGAAATTGTGTTCTTTTTCACTCTTGGGTTCCTGTAGATTGATCCCACAAATCGCGCCCCCTTCTCAAATCTCACGCGCGGATTCAAGCGAAAATAAAAGGGATTTTTTTGCACATGGGTACACTTCAATATTGTGATTTTTTTTATACCTCCGGTCTTGCAACTGACATGTGTAACGATCTGATTGGATAATATTACCAAAATTGTTAGAAGGGATGATTTAACACTGATAATTGGTCCCAAAAAAAAAGGAATTTTCAATAAAGTCAATATCATTGTTGAATTTAACACTGATAATTGGTACAAAAAAAAAGGAATTTTCAATATAAAGTCTAGTAGTATGATTTTTCATTTATGTCAAATAGTATACGATGGAACGTCGAGTGATATCCACACAATTTCAAACGTTATTTGATATACTGATAAGTGCCCTTCGATATGTGTCAAAGACTCAAACATCACATAATACAACAACGTCAACAACTATTTAATTTTGTGTATATATAATTTCCTCTTTTGACAAATCTATATACTGGCATGTCAAATGATTAACTTTGTATTCCACGATATTTTATTTATTTCGAATAGTCGTATTGGGAACGCGTCAAGCGAATATTATAACATAAAATCATTGGTTAAAGTTAATATATTATTTTCTCTGGTATAAATTTTCTTAAGATTTTGAAATAATTAAGAGTCTGTTTGTCTACCATTATTGGTAGAAAAATGGAGTAAGAAATAGTATTTTTTGAAGAATGTGTGGTTGAAATTTAAAATAACGTTATTAGTCTGTGTGTGAAATATTTTGTTGAGTGAATATGTGGTTGAGATTATTTACTGTAGAAAACAATATTTGTAAAAGTGGTAGACAAACAGAGGCTAAATATAAAATGTAATCCATGCGCGTCAACAAAAAAATAGAGGCAAAACTCGAGTACTCGAGGCAAAAACTTTTCCCACTCTTTATTCAAAGCTCTTTTTCTACAATAATGATTGTCAAACGAGCCTAAAGTGTATAGGCTAGTCGTAAAATTACTACTCCTAAACTGCAAATAACATGGATTTGATTGTTTGATTTTTGAAAGCCCCAATAGTAATTACACTTTTTGTGAAAATTTTGCATAAATAGTCTTAACCTTTAATGTTTACGGTAAATATATCCACAATCTTTAACATCGGGTTTTCCAATCCCAACCTTTAGTATTATTTGCATAATTTGTCTTTTTCACATAATTTTTTCGAGTTTTTTGCCCGTTGTCAACTCAAAATTCTGACTCCGCCACTAACAATGAGTTTGAATGTGCTTAAAAGCCCCTTAAAGTGTACTTAAAAATACTCAGCCACTATAAAATTGAAGAAAGAAATGAAAAAGAAAAGGATAAAACAACATTTAACCAAAAGTTGAAAAAAATCAAGTGCGTGAATATTATGATCTTATTGTTTCTCGGGCAAAATATGTACTTTTTCTTGTTAGTTGCAATTAAATTTATTTGTACATGCTGAGAAGTCGTTTATCAACGGTTTAATTTTTATCTATTTTTCTAAATTTGTCTATAGATTCACATCGGGTCAATCATTTTGCTGTCAAAGTTTTTTAATCAATTACACATTTATATAATTCAAACTTTTATCAACTTTTCAATAACATATTTCATTAAATTTTATCAAAATATGCTAAAACTTTTATAAACAAACTTTCCAAACCATTTGTAAATAGAAAAGGCCAAAGATACTTGTTTAAAACGAGTTAATATAGTTTTTAATGCAAATAACAACTTATAAGCAGTGACGGAACCAGTAATTTGAGCGAGTTAGGGCAATCTTTAACAGTTGACTGTCAATGATCGCAATAATGAGATTATTTATTAATATTTAATTATATAATATTAAAAAATCTTCGAGTATCCTTTAGTAAGATGTTTGGTCCAGCTTAGGAATGACTAGGATGGCATTCAAGATATAGGCTGCAACAACAACATCGATTATATGTGGATATGATAAGTAGAATTTGATGGTTAAGTATGAATAACAACATTGTCATCCATCAAACCACCACATGCTATTGTCTAATATGGATAAACATAATTGAGAACAAAAAACTATCGTAGATTCGTACTCATCATTAATGTAATTGTTAGTTATTTTAAATCAAAGAATCCAACGTTAGAGAGCAAATGAACGTCAAAAATATGGAAATAAAATGAAAAATTGCCAATATATTGGACAAATAGTAAGATGAACCTGGTCGAAGTTCTCTTCAAAAATTGAATGATTGATTTTATTGGAGCTTATTTTGCAATTAAAAATACTTAAGGGTAAGATATGAATAAAGAGCATTACTACTTGTACATAATTATGTACAAGTAGATAAATTCATGAATAAAATAGAAATTTATGGATTTAGTTTTAAATTATTGAAAGTACTAGATTAAATCTTATATTATATGAAGGTTTGAGGACTTACATTGCAAATTGGGTTAGTGGACAACAAAACCAATTCAATTCTCAAACAAATCCATTTCTCACTTTATCAAATGGAAAGCTGAAAAGAAAACAGAAGCAGAGATCGAGAAACAGAGACTAAAGAAAGAAAAAGGGAAGAAAAGAAGGGGAAAAGAAAAAAAGAATACATAAGAAAGAAGAAGGTGCCGATTTTGAGTGCTTACCTGACCCTGAGGTAAGCAATTAAATTGTTAAGGAAAACTTATGATATATTTGCTAGAGTTTAAATTGATGAATTAGATTTTCAGATTGGGGAAAATGGAGTACAATTTCTAACTCAAGATTTCCATTATAAAGGGTTCAAACCTTTCCGGTGGAGCTAGCACGGACGGCCGCGCTGGCTCCGATACAAGTATTTTTTTAGTTGCAAGGGGGAATAAAGGCACTTAGGTCAAAAATCATCCAAAAATAGTTAGATCAAAGAGAACAGTTAAAGAAAATGTCAAATATTTAGAATAAAAATCGTGACCATTGGTTGAGATATTAGTCACGAATCGATAAAACACGCCCATTATTATGTATGGATTTGAGTGTTGACTTTAAACCAAAAATTAATTTGCCCACCTTACCAAAAATTGAACAGAGTAACGGTAAAGACATGAATGAAAAACACCAAAGAAAGAAAATGTCAAAGTTACACCAAAAATCAAAATGTACGCGAAGTCGAGGTAAGAGTTGAATTTTTTGTCCTTAAGTCGAATTTGCCCACGGAGAATGGCAATCGATTCTCAAGATACAACGACAATCTTCTTATGTTTGTAGCATTTCAAAACACAATAACTACGAACCGAAAATTGATTTTTGTACTCCTTATGAAAAAGGAAAAACAGCTTTTTAATGTAATGCTATGATTACATATCGTTGGGATGAATAAATGAACGTTCCAAGAATCTAATTTATAGAGAAAGAAATGTTGTAAGTGAAGTGTTTCGTCCAAACTTAACAACACTTGTCAAGGATCGCAGTGTTTGCTATCGCTAGCCCGCCCTTACGTCACTCGAACGTCAGAAACAGAGACTCTGTCGCTTGAGCGATAGCCTCTCCACTCGAGCGCTAGGCGAGCGACGGAGTTTGACAAATTGCCAACCAGTTTTCTCTCTTTCTTCAAATTTTAGACCGTAATTTTTTATTCACCCAGAATTGGTTTGGAGATTTCAAATATATTACAGCGATCTACCCGACAAGTAGAACAAGTTAGTATATTTATTTTCATAATTGGACTATTGGATTAAGTATGAATATTTGATCGAAATTGACATGAAACTCCCTTTTTCATGGTTTAATACTTAACAAATTTCAACCTGTTGTTTTGTAAAGGTGTTTTGAGAGAATTTTTATTCAAAAAATTGAATAAAATATAGTTCAAATATACAATTTGTAAATAGCTAAAAAAATTAACATAATTCGAATTATTTAAATAATGGTGCATTAAACTTTGCAATTTATTAAACTATAAATAGAAAGAGCCAAATTCATCATCTAATTAAAAGTTGAAATAAAGAGTTTATTGTAGCATAATTTCAAAAGTTAATCATTTAAAATAGAGATCATCTTAATTTTAAACGGTCTTTTGGAGATGATCTTAGGGCTTCTTTGGCATTATTTTTAGGGTAGAGTTCAAAACTCAGGTGTTTGGAATGAGGCAAATCAATATTCAGGTTTTAAGTTTCAAAATTCATAAATCAGGTATTAGTTAATTAATTAAATATATTTATTAATTAAATATATTATGGTCACAGTTATAGAATTAGTGGTCACAGATTGATCACAGTTTATTCGTAAGTCACATATTTCCAAATTGTTGGTCACAGATCAAAAAATTTGTCGGTCACAATTAATTCGTCGATCACAGATCTAAAAAATTGTAGGTCACATTTTATCGATCGGTCACACATTTTCAAGTTGAACCAAATAGTTGGTCACATACACTGGAACACCCCACCCCGATCCGATCTATCACTCATACTTGGTCACAGATGACCAAATAATTAGTCACATATACCAAATAGCGGTCACGTACCACCGTCACCACTACCGCCACTGCCACAGCAACTTGCGACCACCCTCACCCGGCCACCGCTGCCAACACCACACCACCGCCGCCATGGCCACAGAAATGCACCACCATCACCGCCGGAAACAACTCCATGACTATCACACACATAGCTACCGCCACAAATGCTTGCTCCAACATTACACACCACATCCACCTGCAACTTCAATCAACAACCAACGGCCAACACTCTACAAACAGCCACCACCTCATAGCGTCGTCGCCTCCACCATCGCCATCAGCCACCATCACAACTACCATTTCCAAACAACAAATAAGATCCAAACCAGATCCCGCCACCATCACTGCGACCACCATATCTGCCACGACCACCATCACCTCCATCACCGCAACCACCAGATTCGCCACCCAATATAGCCAACACACTTCCACCACCACAGCCTCCGCACCTCCACCACCGAATCGTCAATCACCACCACTAAAAAAAAAAAAGGGAGAATGATGGAGATGGGAGGCGTCGGGCCAGCAGAGTAGCGACACTGCCGTACTCTGTGAACGGCAGCGTCGGGGGAGGAGGATTGGGAGAAGGGAGGAGACGAGAGGGGGAGAGGGCCACAGAGAGAGAGACGAGGGAGAGAGGGGGATGGGGAGAAGGAAGAAAGAAAGAAAGGAAACGAGAGGGGGAGAAGGAATAGGGGAGAATTAGGGTTAATAAATTACCTGAGTTTTGAATAAATAATCATTGGACTTGATTTTTAAAAAACTATCTTTAAACCCCTGATTTTTTATAATTTCCCTTATTTTTAAGAAAACAAAACGGGATTTTGAATTCAAAAGTTACTTTTTGACATGTTTTGATAAAGATGTTTGCTTCCCCTAAAAGCTCTTTGGGGAAATAAAAGTGCTTTAAAATTAGTTTTCAAATACTAATTAAAATAACTTTGTTAGAAAGTTCTTCTACGAAAAATAGACAAAAAGGCAGAAAACCTACCAAACAAACTCTTAAAAGTTAGAACATGTTAGAATAAAAAATAACAATTTGAATCGATTTTACAAGAAAATTGAATAGACTTTAAAATTGTACAGAGGTTCGATTTGATCAAATTACTCAATATACGAAAATTAAAGAGATCAATTCCTCCTCCAAACCCCTTCAACCTTTACCACCATGTTACACCACCTCTTTCCTCCCCTTCCACGTCACCACTAGCCATCGTGTCACACCACCCCTTTTCCTCCCCCATCAACGTCACCACCACTACTACCCCCTCCCCTCTCCCTTCCACGCCATAACTAGCACAACCACCACCCCTCTCGTCTCCTTCTCACACTGTCGCCACAACCATCACTTATCGTAGATTTTCCACCATGTCCATTGTAGAACCCCAAAATCTCAATCGAACTCAAAATTTTGATTTCGATTGGGATTACGATTTTGTCATTTTACTATGTTGGCGGTGATAAAAATCAACAAAACATATGAACCTTATTTGATAATAATAAATTAGCATAAATTTTTTTGTATTTTATTGTATAATCAAATCCATTGACGTCGTATATTTCTTTAATCTCATTTATATATGTTGATTTTCCTTATTTTCTTGTTCCAATCGTTTACTAATATATTCTTATTTAAATTGCATAATCATTCAATTTCATTACTACTCTCAACAATAATTTACCACTAGTTATTGACAATTAAATAAGAAACTATGAATTTTTTTTTACAAAATCATTTTTTTCAATAATATTATACCTTGTTTGAGCCGCATTTTATCAAAAATTCATTTTCAACCATGCATTCCTTAATAAGATAACATTACGCGTAAATTGAAATTTTTTTTTTTTTCATTTTTTGATAATGGAGAAGAACAAGATGCAATAATGGCAAAACTGCAATATCAAGAAGGAATCATAACACTGCGCATCATATCCTTGAACTCAAAGAAATCTACTCTCCCGTCGTGATTCCGATCAACGGAAGATATCATTTTCTCAACTCTCTCAATTTCCATCCCTTCTTGCAACCCTAATTTCCCCAAAACAACCTGCAATTCCTTCGCCGAAATGTACCCGTCCCCGTCCTCGTCGAAAACCTTGAATGCCTCAGTAAGATCCGACTCTTCATCGATATTTTCATCATCCAACCCGAAAAAGACGTCATTCAACGAACGATGCAAAGTCTCGAAGTCTTCGAATCTGAGACCAGTATTTCCTGGTTCAATATATGATTGGACCATTGATTCTAATTCGGATAATCCGGCATCCAGACCGAGAAGACCAAGCGCTTGACCGAGCTCGTCCATAGTGATCATGTTATCACTGTTCTTGTCGAAGAGATCGAAGATACGGCGGAGGCGGAGGGAGTTGAGACTTGGACTGCGGAGGCGGAAGGAGGAGGAAGAAGATGGATTCTTACTGTTGCTGAGGCTACGATTGCACTGATATGAAGCATCAAGCTCCATTTCCATGGCGACAAGAAAATCCAATTTCACAGCACACTCAGAATTTTGCTATATTTTTCTTGGATGGATGATCGGAGGAGTTGAGGTGTTTATATTATGGAGGGAAGGTCCGCGGCTGACGCTTAAGCAGCGTGGCATTTGCGCCAACGATATTTTCTTGGTAAGTAGCAAGCCAATGATTATTGTTTGGCAGAATTGACTATTTATTTTACTAATTCTACTTGTCTAGAACTTCTCTTGGTAAAAAAGCAAATCAATTATTTTGGCAGAATTGATTATTTTACTAATTCCACTTGTCTAGATCTTTTCCAGGTTAAAAAAAGCAAATAAATTATTTTGGCAGAATGGATTATTTTACTTTTCCACTTATCTAGAAGTATTTCCTACACACCGGTCCTTGGTGTTTAGTACGACGTTTTCCACATGATTAGTTAGATGTCATTTTCGGTCAACCAATTTTCTCCGAAATATTTGACTATAATACTTTCCATAAATGCCGTTGATTTTGAAGAAAATATGAATACATGATCGACTTTCAAAAAATATTGTTTATGAGAAAAAATATTAATCAAACATCCCAAAAGTTGAAATTTTAATGAAAAGAATGACATTTTCTATAAAAGAAAAAATAAAATCTATTAAATACAGGTCCAGCCCTAGGCCAAAGCCACATAGGCTAGGCCTCTAAAAGATAACAAAACGCTTGGATCATTAAGAGCTTATTTGGTACAACTCAAAATCGGATTAAAATTGAAAATATAGCCGTTACTGGGTCTCACTCGTCTAATAAAAGTCAACAATAACGGTTAGTTTTTCAATTTTAATACGATTTTAATTTCTACCGAACACGCCCTAAATCTACCTCTCGATTTCAGCAATGGGGACCAAGCAAGGGCCAAGAGTGTGTTTAACGGATATTATTGATAAAAAAAATGTATTTTAAATAGTGATATGATGTGAAATATATGGTTAAAAAGTAATGAAAAGTTATTAATGTGATGAAAAATATTATTTGGGATTGAGTAGATTATTAGTTTATGAATTCAAAGAATTGGGAAATGTAATATCCTCTGAAACTGCAGAATCTCATGATTTAGAAGAGAACATTGACAGAGATGATGGGGTAAACAGTAATGGGCAAGGACATATTTCGAAAAATTAGTGTAAGATTGGGATTGAGGAGAAGAATCCCTTGTATATGAACATTTGTTGTCCATTTATGGATGAAGGTTTTAATTGTTTGGCTAGTGGAAGAATTGACAAAAAATACATTCATGGAGATGTAGGAGTTGTTCTCTTCGTATTTCAGTTTTGAGTTTTGAATTCATTTTAAGTTTTTGTGTTCTAAGTGTCCATTTTGAAATTATTGAAAATGTGTTTTTTTGTCATTTTAAAAAATTATTTTCAAAAACTCAAAATGGGGAAATGTGTTCTTCGTCTCTCTCTTTCTCTCCTTCCCCTCCTCCATGTTGTCTCCCTCCCAAGGCCATCAGTGCCGACGAGCGTCGAGCAGTTGTATGTACGATCATCGATGGAGCTGTGCAGCAATGGCCGACGGCTTAGTCTCTCTCTCTCTCTCTCTCTCGATGTGATGGTTGGTTGTGGCTGTGGTGATTGTGTGTGGTGATTTTGGGTTCGCGATGTGCGACGGTTTGGGTCGCGGTTGTGGCGGTGGTATGCGTGATATGGCGGTAGCTGTGGCAGTGGTTTTTGGGTGTGCAACAGTTGTGGATGTGGTGTGGCCGTGACTGTGGTGGTGGTTTTTCTTCTGCTGTGCTTGTGGTTGTGGGTCGAGACGTCGTCGGCAGTGGTTTTGACGGTGTGGTTGCGACGACGATGTAGTAAAGGAGGCATTGGTTGTGGTTTTTGTTAATTGGCGTAACTTTTCACTCCAAAATGCGTTTTGAAAATTTTGACTTTGTTTTAACTGAAAACACCCAAAAAGACATTTTTCTATTTTCTGTTTTCTTTGTAAATTTTAAACTTGTTTTCGGAAATTCGTTTTCGAAAATAGATAAGTAAACGTGTTTTCACCGTTTTGAAAAATTGAAAATAGAAAACGAGATGAAAACGGCAAAGAGAACAGTTACGTAGCCTCTATATTGTGACATTACTAGGTAAGCCTTCAACCTCAAACTCGTATGTTACCTCATTTTTAGAATTTTCACTGAAAAAGTTAAAAAAAAAAAATGCATTTTGAGTGTTATGTTATAAATTTATCCTTGTTTTCAAAAATACATTTTCGAAAATAAGAGACCAAACACGTTTTTTGTGTTTTGTAAAAAAAAATTGAAAATGGCTCAAAACAACAAACCAAACGCACCCTAATATAAAAAATATTCGATTCAGATCGACATAAACGCTGATATTAAATTTAAAACGTTTAAACATTAGTATTGTATTTCAAAAGAACAGTGATTGGGAGTCTAAAAACACTGAAACACATGGAAATTTAGTGTTTAAATAATATTTTATTTAAATAAATTTTTTAAAATTAAAAACTTTAAAAAATGAAAATACAAATTCTAGCGAATAAAAAAATTAGAATTCGTGAAAAATAAAATTTAAAAATTTTCAGAACTCTAAACAATAAAAAGTTCAAGCTCTTAGTTATTATTTAATCTAAAAAATATATTTAAATGAATACAGATATAAGTATTTTCCGTCCACACCAATAATTTTGATTTTCTATATTTTGAACACTTATTTATTATTTATTTTTATTTTACTTTTGTAGCAAGAAAAGATGTTGTAAGATTTACCAATTTTATAACCCTGAAAACAGAAAGCTAAAATAAACTTAAAATTCAAAACTGAAATACAAATCAAACACCTTAGTTTTCTAGATATTACATAAAATATTTAACTTTAACTGTTTATCGTTCAAGATAACTGTTAGATTTAACATATAATTTTGGGATAACTGCAGCAACGGTACCAAACCCTTCATTTAGTTACAGGCTTTGCCCAAACATTTAATTTGTATCACCTACAGTACCAAACATTTCATTTGTGCCACCCACAATACCAAGCCTTTTCAAAATGTCATAACTAAAATCCAAATAGATGGTTTCTGTTAATTTGACTTTTAGTTGAACAAATAATTGACTTTGACAATAATTTTGACTAATTTTAAAATGTTAAAATGGTAACTTTACATTTTTATAATAAAATAACTAAATTCAAATAATTAAAATTAAAAACAAAAAAATCAATTTCATCTTCTCCATCTACCCCACCCCAAAACCATCACCATCTCCTCCACCACAACTATTTCCTCCATCATAATCAATAACTACACATATTCACCAACCAAGCGAAGAATTCTACTTTCTGAAATCAATTTTACAAATCAAAAGTAGTTTTCCTCACAAATGGCGACCATGAGTTTGGTTGGTATTGACTTTACTATTTTGTATTGTATTATGAGCAATAAACAAAACCCACAAAGGTGAAGACTCGAGAAGAATATGTACGATTCTCCTTGCTTGATTCCCTTTACCGTGAAGAAGTGGAGAATTTGAAGAAGGAAGTGAAAAATTCAACTTTAATGGTGGAAATCTGTCAAATTTTCCTAATATGTTAAGATTTGTTTTGGGAAGATGAAGATCTGAATTCTCTTTTCTGCAAAGAAAATGACGTATTTGTCAATGGAAAATGCTCCTCTTTCTGTGCAGGCACACACAGATGTAGCGGCATGGATTTTGAAAGTCAAAATTTTTTATGGGTTTTCAGCATTGATTGTTATGCTTGCGGTAAATTATCTTGACAGGTTCTTTGCAACATCCATTTTCAAAAAGAGAAGCCGTGAATGATCCAACTTGGAGCGGTGGTGGTGGTGGTGATGGTTTTTGGGTGTGGGTGGTTATTTGAGAGGTGGATGGAGAAAATAAAGTTGATTTTTTTATTTTTTATTTTAATTAATTGATTCTAGTTATTTTATTATAAAAAATGTGAAATTACAATCTTAATCTTTTAAAATTAGTCAAAATTATTGTCAATGTCAATTATTTGGTCAACTAATGATCAAACTAAAAGAAACAATCCATTTGGATTTTAGCTGGGACATTTTGAAAATGTTTGATATTGGGGGTGGCACAAATGAAAGGTTTGGTATCGTGGGTGACACAAATTAAATGTTTGGGCAATGTCTGCAACCAAACGAAAGGTTTGATAGATACCGTTGCTGCAATTATCCCTATAATTTTTTATATATATTTTTGCCGTAATAATTTTGACTTTTCTAATTTAACCTCACTTCTAAAAAGTAAAATATTAGTAATATCTTGATTATGCAATAAATTTATTGCATAAACATCACAATAAATTCCAATACTTAGTTACTCAATAGCTATCAATAGCATAATATATTTACATGGGAGTACTAAAAACAACATTACAAGGATCATAACCACGCATTAAATTAACAAATATATAGGCAATACAAAGAATTTCATACATCAAAACACTTCGTGTTATAGACATACTTATCGACATCTTATAGAAAGAGTCAATGGACTCGTAAAGTCACTCCGATCACCTTACATAATTGCACGTACAATGAGTTCTTGTTGTTCATTGAGAAGATCGTTAATCCGCTTTTCTAGTCTACGAATTTGTTCTGAGGCCGATTGCTTTGATTCCTCTATGTCATCAGAAGTAAAACCAGTCTCCTCATAAAAAATAAGCCCTTGCTCAAGTTCAAGCTTCTCATCTTTCAGAGATTGTATGATTTGTGGGATTCTTTCAAGTTTTTCAGCGATGTCCATGGCTAAAGGCTCTCTCTCTCTTTTTTTTTTTGTCAATTTCTAGAGTTTACCCCCTCTTCACCAAATAAAGATTAAGATAAATTACCATTTACATTACAAGCGTTGGAGTCCCTTAATCCTTTCTATAAAATAATTTGTATTGAATTAAGTTTATGAAATTATAAAATAAACCTCATCTTGAATATCAAAATATATAATATATATATCTTCATTTAATATTAAAAATTTGAGGGTTAT